TAAAAATAAATAAATAAATAAATAAATAAATAAACCAAGAAACTTAGAAAATCAAGAAATATAAAAGCAGAACCTCTCACAAGCCATTCCATGCCTCATCGGCATTCACTTCAACTGTTAAAAAAAACCCTACCTAAATACCGCTTAGTGGCCCTTGAATGACAAAGTGGCTTGATAGTTGTATTTCTGCTTCCCTGTACTTCTGCTCCTTACCTTCGCTGTTAGCACTGCTTCTTCCTTTGCAACAAAACTATGAGTTGAACAAAGTTATATCCTCAAAAAGAAGAAAGAGACCCCATAAAGCACTACCAGGAAACGATTCGTTATCACTCAAGTCATAAAGTTATCAGCTTTCTCGTAAATATAAAAATTCCCTTATCAAAAAGTACTCAAAACAAATCCAATTTTGTGAAATCTATCAACAGTCCCCTCCAGAATCCTCTATTTTAGAAATACAGTTTCTAAACTAGTCAAATGCTATATCAGAACAACTGTAATAACACCACAAATATAAAAAAACAAGTTGAGGTTTTGTAGCAAAGTTTCAAAGTCCTAATTTATGCTTTCAAAAAATTATTTTTCTAACAAACAAAGGAACACACCTTTTTCTATCTCAAAATGACCTTCAAACAATGTACAATTACATACACCAAACCATTCTTGCAATAAAATGCTTTAAAAAATGTGTAGTGTCCAAACATTTGATGAAAATAAATAAATTCCTGTTACGATATACACCTAACAGATCCGTAAACTTCACCTGAGCCCTTTGGTGGCAAAGCTTTACATTTTTCACAAGCTGGTACGTCGACCCACAAAAAGAAGTCCGTCTTAAACCATCTAATTAAATTCTCAAGCAGCTTATACCTATCTACTTCACCGTTTTGTTTACTCTTTTCGTGTAATTGGGTGGTAGGAATCAGACTTAAAGCCAGTGTTCTCGAAATATCATCCTCGTACATAACCATCTAAAAGTTTAATAGATATAAGACAACAAACTTCGTGAAAAAGTTAACTCTATCACTCACATTATTCTAATAAAAAAATGGTGAGGTAGTTGAGCACGGAGAAAATACTATTTAAAATTCTTTCCTACCAATTTCGAGTAACCAGCAAATTTTTCTAAAAAAATTCTTTCGTCATCAGTAGCTGCGGCTGCTGATCTTGTCCGTGATGGTGCTGCGTCTAAGTACTGCAAAATAGTTTGCTCCAGAGCTTCAGGATCAGCTCCTCTAATACGACTTACTTCTCGACCATTAAGAAGAAATACAAATGTTGGCATTGCTTCAATGCCAAAACTTACAGAAGTTTCTGAAAAAAAAATAATATAAAACAAACAAGAAACGGAAAAAAAGTAAAATCATTTAAATCGCGAAAAAAAAAGCGAAATTACTTGATGGGGGTCATCGAATTTTATTAACGCTTAACTATTCAATCGCATAAGCAAAATTAATGGTGCATTCTAGGCAGTAACCAATATTACTATATTAATAGCCTTCCATTTGCAGTCATCCATGTCAGCAAAAGAAGTCTTTAAAACAATCAAACTGAATGAAGTACAACGTGACTTTCTCTTTCGGAAAACAAAATGTGCTGATAAAAATCTATTAGAGGCGCAGATGTATGGAAGTACAGCAACTGCTTACCTCTACATAAGTCAACGTTCACTTTTACAAAGGTAACTCCGTTGCTATATTTGTGAGAAAGTCGTTCAAATACAGGTGCTATCATACGACATGGTCCACACCAATCGGCATAGAAGTCGATTACAATCAAATTGGATCGGTTAGCTCTGACAACATCACTCAGTGAATAGTCGTCGGATATCACTTGTACCATCCTGTAAAGAAGCAGATAACAGGAAGAACAAAATGGTTATAAAACCCCCTGTCTGACGGTCATTACTCAATGGTTTTACATTAAAACTATAATCAAAAAATTAAATCAGAACGTAAAAGTAACATCAAATATTGTTGAAATTCAAAAGTTCAACAAGACGTGACGTTTGATGTTCAGTGGTAACCCTTTAGAGGAGTAATTAGAAACCCTATTCCACGAAATTCAAGGAAAAAAAAAGAAATATTGCTTAATTTTAGATACACCAAAATTTAGAGTAATTTCAAACTTTTCAGTCAGTTTATGGCCACAAAATTGCACATGATTAGTCATCAAAAATTACTACTAAAAAATTTACTCTTCGGCATAAAAAACAATCAAATCTTATTGCATCATAACAGAAGCAACAAAAGTAGGCTGGTAAATCAGTCGGCAGTTGTCAAAGACCTCATCATATAGACAAAATATAACATCATCATACTTAGTTTCTCCTGACTTCAAAAACTAAACAGAACGATTCTATTTGCACAGTTATAGTAAAATTTATTCGTCAGCATCATCTG